ATTGGACTGAGAATAATATTATAATATGCATGATGTAAATCATTAAAAATATTAAAGAAGCGCTCAACCCAACTGTTAGTTTATGATATATGACCATCTATGAATCAAATAATGAAATTGTAAATATACACCGTTATATCATCAGAAACTACAAGTATTATCCACAATAATGTCTAGACCTCACATCCATTTTAGATTAATGTATTATTTCAATTTTCCAAAGAGAATAGGAAGGTTGGGACCGAGGGTTGGCTCTCCGTGAATCTCACCACATCACTCATTTCGAAAGTTCGCTATTCCATCAGTAAGGTGGGAAATGGTCGAGAAATCTTCACTTAATTGACAGGGTGAATGTTTAGTATTATTTCAAGCTCCCTAAGTTATACAAAAAGCACTTTGAGGAGTATTTACCAAGTAGGATATCAGATGACAAAATACACAGAACTGCCATTCATAATTAACAGATAATGACATTAAATCTAGAATGATATCCTATGTGTCGCGGCATGTGTTCACGTGCATTTGCACTCGATGTTCTTCGTGAAAGTTGACGTATTGTCAATAATTGCGATACTCGTAATAGACTATCTACACCGCTTCTCTAGACTACCCTCCCCACTGAAGTATTTTATCCATCTCATTTTGGTCAGTCGCTGCCGATTTTCTTTTGATGTCTAGATCTATTATTGTCATTAGTGATTTGTCATTTGTGATAATCGCCATGATATGGAATTGGTTAGCAGATTTTTAGTGTTCATGAATACAAGATAATTTGTTTTGAATTATACTTTTTTCGGGAGAATTGAAGTCTGTCTTTTGAGTGTTCAATGTTCATGATTATAAGACAATTTGTTAAGTCTTGTTTCTGGTCAACAGCCAGTCACGTCAATTTGGGATATTAGGGAGTTTAAGCTTGCATATAAAATCGAAACTCCAGCCTATACATATGACCAATCGCTCACACAAATGCATCGCTTAAATATTCTCCGTTAAACGTTTAGGTTGTGAAATAAATTGCAAGCTTAAACTCCCTATTATTCATTATTTTACGTTTTCAAAAATACCATTAAGATTATTTTCTTTTATGTACCCAAATTGTGCTAACTGTTTTCCATCATTTTTTTAATATATGTGTTACTAAAGGATGGATTACATAATATATGTCGCATTATCTTTTTGTCTCATAAAATTGTGAAATTGTTTCATAAACGGCATAGGAACCTGAAGTGTCCAACTGTAAATAGAACTGCACCTAACGCAATTATTACATTTTCTTGCGTTTTGACAAAATATATGATTCACATAACCACGTGATAAATGAACTCAATCCGTCGCTGGAAGACACTCCTCAGCTGCAAATCAGGAATCCCCAGATATGTGTATTCTAAATTTGATTTTGATTAAGAAATTAATGTTCTGATTAAAATTCAGCGGTCTGAGATGCGACGGTGGTCTGCAAGGGAGGCGAACCTTTCGCTGAATTACTCTGAGGTAACTTGCTGCAAATCTAATTCCATCTTAGCTATTGTTTCGCTGAAATTCTAGAAGGTGTTCGATTACTTTCTGCATTATCTCTGTCATGTTATACTCATTAAGATGAAAACAAACCCGACTGAACTTAATGAGAGATGATCTGAATTCATATTGAACGGTTATTTTAGCCGAAATAAGATCTCCTCGTTTGAAGAAGTTTGATTAATTCTTCAAGTACGAGGTTAAATTCCAACTATTGGTATTAGTTGATTGGAAAAGTCGACTAGAGTTTCTCTAATTTTTGAGAAATAATAATTCTTCTAGCATAATATACAAACATCTGAGCTTGATTGATATCTTCATTAGTCCATATTTTCAGATCAGCTTACTAAGACTTATAAATTAAATCCAAGCATCTTGCTATCAAATGATACATACTTACAGATAATGCGATACTTGTATTAAGACCATTTTAGTTTCTAGTTTAACTTATGCAATTACAGGACGAGGAAGCATGCCTTAGTCACTTTTAATCTACGGCAACCGTACGACGGCCGTAGCTTCCCAAAATCGAGAGAGATATGCAGCATAAAATAGAGGGATAAGCAGTCCCATGTATATTTTCTATATCGATTTTTTGAAGCTACGGCCGCCATACACCAGCCGTACAGTCATTCGGAACTATCAACAATGAAGAACAATACAACATCATTAATGACAAGTGTTTTATTTGCTTAGGCTGGGATTCTTATCACATAATTCATTATGATTTTTGAAAACATTTACATTAACATCAAATGTGCACTTTTAGAATTGTGTTTGTGATCATTTAGGAATCAAAATGGACAGAGAATGTCAATCTTTTCAAAAAGCATGACAGTATTTCAAAAGCATGACACAACAGTATTTCAAATAGCATGACAGTATTTCAAAAGCATGATAGTATTTCAAAAAGCATGATAGTATTCTAAATAGCATGACAGTATTTCAAAAGCATGACAGTATTTCAAAAAGCATGACAGTATTTCAAAAAGCATGATAGTATTTCAAATAGCATGACAGTATTTCAAAAGCATGACAGTATTGCAAATAGCATGACAATATGTTAAATGGCATGACAGTATTTCAAATAGCATGACAGTATTTCAAAAGCATGACAGTATTGCAAATAGCATGACAATATGTTAAATGGCATGACAGTATTTCAAATAGCATGACAGTATTTCTCTTGCGATCCTAATTTTGTCATCTGAAAAAATAAGATATGTGACCAAATGTATTATTGGAGATTTAATATGCAGAATTCTCCAAGTTTTTATCATCGAAAAGGGGGACGTGTCAGGATAATCCAGGAGAGAGTCAGAATTGTTGGTGCTTTTATAAAATAGATAGGGCTATGACATAGAATTATGAGAAAAATGTACGAATTTTTATCCCTTCCATTTCCTGTAATATCGAGCATCATGTTTAAATTGATAAAGAAAGATTTGCAAATTAATTTCGACCACTGAGTTTTTGTAAATCTAATGAGTGTTATTGCAGAGAGTAATCGGTATGCCAAATGACAATGAACATTTACTTCCTAATCAGATCGCTTCATTTACTGTTGTGGTCCAAAAAAGGAGTGGACGTTTCAATGTTCCAAGACCCGACATTTTAATGTTCTCTGAGAAGAAGAATTCGACTAGAAAATAATCCCCGTGCATAAGAATGATTCGCGGAATGGAAACCTGTGATTTTAAAGAATTCAGGCCAAGATATATTCCAATTAATCATCGGTTTTGTAATTTTGTGACCAAACTAAAATAATGTCATATTCCCCTTTTTAATTATACATTAAGTTCAAGCATGGGCTTTCAAGCTTGAAAGCCCATGGTTCAAGTTTGTTAAAGCCCATAGGCGTAGCCAGGGGGTGCAATGGGCGCGAATTGTAGCATGACTCACCCCCAAATAATATAATACGAATATAGAAGCAGGTAACTACAAAATCTTACAACAAAAAAGCATGACATTAGATTAGTAATAAAGCATCCCCATGACAAAATGTCACAACCAGGTTGCAAACATAGAGAATAATACATTATTATCAATTACAATATCTCCTAAAAGATTCATGATATGTTTTTAATTGGTGAAGTAATTATGAATTCAAAGTACAAAACTGGGTGAAAATGTTTAAATTCTCCCAAATAGAAAAATAATACATTATTGTAAAAATCTTTAGTTTTCCTGAAATGAAGTGTGCACTTTGGGGATTTTTAGAAAATAGACATGACAAGGAATGACATCAGCTAGAAATATTATAAAATTGAAACAATTTTATGTTGGCCTGCTCGCTAGATCTGATTCTCTCTTTGAGGTCTCACTCAGGACCACTATAGAAGGGGACAATTATCTCCATGGTACGGTAAAACCTGTAAAACCGATGTAAAAATAATGCCGAGTTTGAATTGGCATTAACCAGGGCCAGTGCGATTTAGGATATCGATTAATATCAATTTATAGGGAAAGGGGAAGTTAAAGGCCTTATTACAAGGAAGGAATTATGTACTAAACTATCAAATATGAATTGACCTGACATCTATTTGAAATATTATGGTGTAAATCGTATCTGAAAAGTGTCTTGATTTGGTAAATGATTTAAGTGCCCTCTTTATGTTCTTTGCATGTGCAATTCTACTTTATAGACTGTGTGTCCTTATGTAGATCAAAAAGAGAGACGTCGAGAACTGTGGCTACGTCATTTGTCATAATGCATCTTCGAATTTTTTTCAGAACGAAACTCTGGATCACTTGCTGCTTCAAGCCAATTTCCTCAAATGTATTCAGTTTACTTGTAGCAAATCCGTATCATAAAAGTACTGGAAGAGTCGGGTATCATTGAATTCAAGAACAGAATTGAAAAGTTCCAAAACTTCCATGTGTCATAAATCTCGTGTTTTTATTCTGATGTTAGATAGCGATTGGATAGCTTAATTCTCTTTTCGAGCAATTCAGGGTCGATTCCCTCAGGTGATTTTGATCGTTTTCCATATTCTTTCACGCTCTTTGTACTCATTGGATTATTATTTTGGTGCCCAATTGCCTCTACATTTGTGGATTTACAGCAGGACAATTTGAACTCATTTCCATCTCCGTATAGTTTCTTCAGATCATCCAAGGCATCAGTCAAGTTAAATGCAAGAGAAACTTGGCATCCCCATGTGTTGTAACTACTTTCTTCTTCCCAACCTGCAAATATCATGAAGCATTCTGGGCTGTGATCTCCCTCGTAAGAACCACTCTGAATTTGCACTATTGTTCCACTATCTCCTGGTTCACTAAAGGTAGTATCATCTGTTTCGGAGCGAATAACAACCAAATTAGGACACCATGCCCGCTCGTTACCTATTTTAATTTCACCTCCAGATGCTAAACTTAGTATTTTGCCGGAATTTGCATCACTGGGAATTGATCTCAACTTTGACACTTTTCCTTCAAAAAGTTCTGTATTTTTGGGCTTTCTTGTGCAGCACTTAGAGCAGGGTTCACATTGTTGCTTAATGTCTTGATGTTGATCGCTTATTTGGATCAAAGCAATGTCAAATTGGGGATCATCTTCACCTTCATCGTCATCGTAAACAATATCATCATCACATGAAATATCAATACCGTCTAGGGGATCGTCAGGATCAAGTCTGAGTGGTATGTGGTAGGGAACGTCCTTTCCGATAGGACGTGTATCAGATTGATCATCCATTGACCAAGTAATAAACTCCTGTTCAAATAAAGGATTTCTTTTGGCTGTAACAACATGGTTAGCTGTTAGCGCATACACATTTTGATCTACACTAGAAGCAAGTCCACCAAGAGTTCCATACGGATTGTCTATAAACTCAGAAATCGGGTTATATTTATCCTTGATATGGAGTGGCGCCCCCGTACATCCTAAAAGCTGGAGTCGTTCTTCTTTTCTCCAGGGTACAAAATTGAACCTATACCCAGGTATATGCTTCTTGATAAAACGTTCTGTTTTATCTATTTGCCCATCAACTACGTGGATTGTGTAGAAACCATCTTCACGCATCCCATAGAATTTAACTTCGGGGATCCTGGAATAAACGATGCTATCATATAACAGTCTAATGACTCTAATCCATTCCCGTACTATAATTACATACGTACGCCAGCTTATTTATTCATGATAGACGCCCAAATGCAAGTTGATATCAATACGTGAACGATATTGAGGAAATGATGCAACAGTTTATCACACAATTGAAAATTATTCATTTGAAGAAAATTGTAGAACTACAAATATCTCAGAATGATTGGACGATGTAAATTATTGAATAAACATAGACATGACTCATAACCGTCAAAAAGAGAAAAATGTATGATTATGTCATTTGGATGTGCATAATATCATACCTTCTAAGTAGTTTCTTTGCTCTTGGTAGTAGTTCCTCAAAAGGATTTTGTTCCTCTATTGATCTTTCTCGCCGAGTTTCGGCCAGTTGAACTTTCTTTTCGTGCTGTCGTTGTTCTATCAATCGAGAAATGTAATACTGATATTATATTATACATTATAGCATATTGAATTACATACCTAGCGAAGCATTTGTATGACAGTCAACGGGAAAATTAGCAGGCCTTTTTTTATTTTTTTATTTATTTTTTTATTATTTTTTTTTATTATTGGATCTTACACATACATCATACATGATATACATACATGTTCATATAATTATTTAACATTTTACAATAGATACTATTTTGAACAGCTCATCTCCATGTACAGAGGATTTCCAAATAATGTAATTTACAAATATTTACATCACAATAGCACAATAGTCTTCAAGAACATATAGGTTACCATGGTTTTATAATATATACTCCATACCTTAAATATATGATATAATTATTTTACATTTTACAAATAGATACTATTTTCAACAGCTCATCTCCATGTGTACAGAGAGTTTCCAAACAATATAATTTACAAATGTTTACATCACAATTGCACAATAGTCTGTAATAACATAACATATAGGTTACCACAGTTTTATAATATATACTCCATACATTAAATATAATACAGAGTTATTGGCTTAATAGTTCAATAACCCATCTCCAAGTCTTATTGAAGGTTTCTTGCATATCATTTAAATTTGCGATGTTTTGTTCATCTTTGATTTTATATTTTATGATTTCCTTTATTTGGATAAAGGTGATTTTAGTTTTAATCAGTCTTGATTTATGTATTAGACTTTTTGTATACAAGATACAAAAATTTATGGCTTTAGTTTTATCCTCGTTTTCTTCATCTAATTTTCCTATAATAATATCTTTATTTGTTAAATCAACATTGAAGAAAATTTTGAATTCGTCCCAAATCTTGGCAGAGTTTGTCCAATTAGCATAACTCACTGTTCGATTATTAATTTTTATAAAATCATTGTTCCAAATATACTCATTTAAGGCGAGTTCCTTATTATATGGCTCTTTATTATGTAAAGATCTCCATGTTTCCATAATACTGAAGTAAAAAGGTGGTAATCTAGACAAGGTTTCTACTGGAAATTTAGATTGAAAGATTGCCTCAGGCTGTAGATTTGGAAAGAAACTGTAAAAATATTGTTTCCATTTGCAAGATTTGCTTTGGAATAGCCTTTTTACCCATTGAATTTGTAATGCTTTTATTTGCGACTCAAAATGTAAACTTTTGATCCCACCTTTTTCTATTTTGCCTATAGTTGTTAAATTACTGATAAGTGGAGGTTTTTTGTTCCACAGAAAATTGTTAATGATCTTTTGAACTTTATTGATGATGTGCTTTGGTACAAGTATTATTGATGCTAAGTAAGTTAGTTTTGAAAGTCCATTCCCATATTTTAAACAAGTTTTCTATAGCTTTGATTTTAGGGGAAAAATTACGATCGTTCCGTTCATCTATATTATGGCTAAACCACACTCCGAGTGTGTAGAAAGATTCATTGTTAATTTTAATTTCCGATACAAGACTTTTGGGTACAATTTGTGGAGGATTTGTTTTAAATTGTCCTAACCACCTACCTTCTGTTTTTTGAAAGTTGGGCTAAAGGCCAGAAATTTCTGAAAAGGTTCTTAAAATCTGAAGGGCTCTTTCGGTTGATGCTATGGAGTTCATGAAAAAAGTTGTATCATCAGCAAACATTGAAATTTTTACTTCGGTATTATTTAAGAGAATGCCTCCAATTTCGTTATTTTGTCTAATAGATATGGCTAGTATTTCCGCTACGATTTTGAAAAGGTATGCCGATAGGGGGCATCCTTGACGGACTCCCCTGGATGGTGAAAACATAGTTGATTGATACCCATTATTTGTTATACATGTTTGAGCATTTTTGTAAAAGGTTTTTACCCATTTAATTAGTGTCCCGCCAAAATTGAATAATGTAAGAGCTTTCTCAATAAAATTCCAGTTTACCGAATCAAAGGCTTTTTCGAAATCAATTTGAAGAAGTAAGCCAGGGATGTTACCTTGGTCAGTGAATTCTAAGATATTTTCTGTAAGTCTAATATTTTCCCCTATGTATCTGTCCGTTACATAAGCAGATTGGTCGGCGTTAATTATAGATGTTAAAGTTTTACGTATCCTATTCGCGATTGATTTAGTACCTATTTTATAGTCGGTGTTCAATAGAGTAATTGGCCTCCAATTTTTAAGGAATAATCTAATTTTGTCTTTCTTCGGAATTAAGGTGATGACGCCTTGCTTTTGGGAAATTGAGAGCTCTCCAGATTCAAAAGCATAGTTTAAACTGTCTACGACTAAATCTTTAACATTAATCCAGAAGAACTTGTAAAAATTTGTTGTGAATTTGTGGGAAAATTAGCAGGCTATATATTTTATCTTATTATATTTGTATCATATGATATTATATTATATTATTTATGATAGTAATATGTACATACACATGTGGCAATAAAAAGAATTACGAAATCATTATAACAAAACGAAAAATCTGAGAACATACATTAAATAAACCAGTCACGAGGAAAATGGACGCAATATTCCTATCTTATTAACTTTATTGAATCGGTAGAATTAGTGGACTACTATACAATTCATTTTACTTGTTGCAAACACAAAATACGAAATTATTTCTAATAGTGGAAAACACTAATATCTTTGAAATGTAGTATATAGAGATTTTGATTATTCCCTTGGCGAATATAATATATTTTCCCTCGGGACCTGCGGCCCTCGGGCAAATATATTATATTTGCCTCGGGATAATCCCAATGTCCTGAACCTCATATAGGATAATATGTTTATCCCATACCAATCTTGGTCATCTGGTTCACATTGTTCAATCGTGGAAATGTTTTACAATATTCATGTCCAGTTTTGTTTTCTTGGCCGTGGGCGGATTTTCCTGTTCTCTCAAATATTCCCACATTTATTTTCTCGAATTTTTTGATTGATTAAGTGGATGTTCCTTCCCTTTTTTAAACCATCAAACAGATCCCGATTGTCTGTGTTTTCTCCATTGTCGTTTAGAGTCATTACGCGAACGTTACAAATTATGAACAAATATGCGAGCGGCATTTATGACGTTTATCTGCCCGCTGATGAAAATATAAATTTTTACTAAACCGGCTTTATGTACCTGTAACACGTCCAAGTATGGGATAAATCCAAATATTTTTCAGGCTATTGATATTGCACTTGATATACGAGATGTATTTTGTCATACCAAAATCACGGGTAGTATCTAAAGCCCCGCCATGATTTAGAAATCGCGAGCAAGTTCCCGCTGAAATCACGAGCAAAGTCCTTTTTATTTGTGTCACCTGGAAATATGGCCAAAAATGGTAAGAATACGCATTACTGTTCTTTGAAACTTGAGGTATACTTTCAGAACAGGTATATCTTCACAAACAATGACATGAACGATAAATATGTTTATCGGCATGGAAGAAACTGGCGCAAATATGCACGTTTACATAATTTACAGTAACAAAATTACTTTTGTCGTTAAAATTGAGACAAGAACTACGATATGCATTCCTCATAATGAATATTGGATCAACATTGTATGTATTGATAAGTTAGTTTACAATAACATCTCCTGTGGGGGTGAAATACACCATTGGAGGTGTTCCAGAGGCCCCGCTGAAATTATGAGGAAGCCCCGCTGAAAACATGAGGCGGTCCCGCTGAAATCAGGAGCAGATTTCACGAGTACCCGCTTCGATCACGAGGAAAGCTTCATTACATTCCATTAAATATTGAGGTTCTTCAAATAAACGTACACGAAAGACCAAGCAAAGTATTCCTATTAATTATATATACTGTTTCATTCTAGGGCCACGTTTCAAATGTTTTTATTGCAACTTCAAGTCATCAGAGCAGAACGATTTCGTCAAACATTTTATACAGTTTCACCCATCATTGGATTTCAAAATAAACGAACCAAAATATATAGGAGAAAGATGGATATATCGTGTATTAGACTTCAACATAAATTCAAGACAATTCATGAAGTTCAGGGGAATGAGCCTTTTATTAAACAGAGAGACCCCAAGTTCCAAGAAGAGGAAATTTTGAGAGAATGAACCACAAAGGCTCCATGATAATTCAGAAGACGTTGTAGGTTCTAATTTTATAATTTAACAATAACATTAAAGTTCTTGTTTTTAAATATTTATTTCAAGAATGAT